AGGACGCTACTAGGGGCTCCTGGCCTTACTACTAGGAGCAAGGACGCCATGAATACTTGTCCCTCCTAAAAACCGGGAATTGTTCCTTTCTATACTTGTTCACTCCCGGCCGCTGGTGCCACAGGCCGCCAGGCGTGGTGACGACTGACGAATGTTCCGTTCCTTTCAGACGAGACACCGTGTTTCGGCAGTACCCATTTGGGCAGGTTTGGTTGGGCATCGTGGTTCTGCCGGTTTGAACCCAAACCTTGGAGACACCCATCTTTCGGAGCAAAACAACCGGGGTGCATAGCTCACCCGGCACCCAGTGTAGGTCATGCTTCGTTTTTCACACTGGCGAAGGTTGAAGTCCTTAGATGAATTGAACCTCCGTTTCCATGAGCCCAATTCAGCAGCCAATGCCAGTTTCTGGAACCCCTGAATTTGAGCACACTGGTGGGTGTAGTTTTGGCACGTCAAAAGAACATTGTCTGGCCTTCCTCGGCGGTGTGCTGGACCAGCAACAGTCCAATCCACCAAAAACAGTATGTTTTTGGAATAGTTTTTAGTTCAATTTTGGGCTTAGACCGCACGGAGAGGGAACGTGCTCAGCTGTTTCAGCTCCCGGTTCGACTTCCGCTGCGAACGACATTGCGCTGTTCGCCATGGGCCGCCGATCGCCTTTGCCTGTGGCCATCCTGGCAACGGCACCGCGGCTGGAGAGGGGGAAGTGAAGGGGATGGGAGATGGGACCAGTGGTCCAGAGCATCGGGGAGTGCGCGAGGGAGTGGAAGATGACACAGATACAGATACTGCAAAAAGGAATCGACTTTAAGGAACCTACTAGCGCTGGCCTCCAACCTGATAGCGCTGGCCTCCAACCTGATAGCGCTGGCCTCCAACCTACTAGCGATGGCCTCCAACCTACTAGCGATGGCCTCCAACCTAGCAGAGATGGCCACCAACCTAATAGCGATGGCCTCCAACCTAGCAGAGATGGCCACCAACCTACTAGCGATGAAAATTACACACGGAGTGGAAGATGTAGAATTAAAATTAACTACTAGCTTCTTGTTACTACTAGTAAGGCACCTGTTACTACTAGTGTGGCACTTGTTACTACTAGCTTCTTGTTGCACAGATCCGAATGGTCCTGACCTGCGGCGGGAGAATCTTCGAATCGCGGGCCGAGGCCCTCAGTGCTCAGTTACGGTCAGTGAACCACCAGGTGGTCATTTGGGTCCAAGAAACACATGGTCATAGGGTCAGGTGTTTTTTTACCCTTGGTCATTCTTTATTGGTCAAGAACTGTTGGACCACGTTGGACCGAATTTTGGGATTTAACACACATGAGATGAACAGGTCTGCGTTAAAGAAACAGTCGGGTCGTGAATTCCGACCTTCTCAGTTTCGGATCCGCTTCGAGGTCCTGGCGGGTCTCCACACCAGCTTCGTCTCCACAGGCAGGGCCAGCGTGGCAGGGCGATGGACTGCCCTGGAATCTCCATTCGCTCCGGTGGCACTGCCAAATCTGAGGGGCATATGATGGATTGAATTGGATGGATGATGAGTCGAAGTAACACAATACACCGTACCACCATCATAGAATCATACACCGTACCACCGATTTCTACAACACGCCCTTGACCTTGCGGCCGGAGAGTGACCTTGGGTTGGGACGGTTCTTGGAACAGTCATGGCACCTGGAGTCCAATGCACAGACACACCGGCAGTCCATGCGGGGTGGGTTTGGACAAATCCGATCTAGAATCTAGAGAAATGCCGCCCGGGGGCCCGGGCATTCTGCGAAGATGCTCAATTTGATTGCACCATCTTTTCAATGAAGCCTCAACGCCTTTCCCATCGAGATTCAAGGCCCTGAAATCACAAAAACATTTAGCAAGAACTTTAACATGTGCGTGTGGTTGCAAACAAGAACGCCTTCCAAGATTTCTGCGTTGCCTAACGCCTCAAACCACCGGGAGGCGCTCGGCCGCAGCTCCGGACACAGCGCGTGGCACGGAAAGCCGAGCCGGAGATTGTGGACGTGGAGGCATCGGCGCTGGTGAAGCTGGAGGAAGACATCGAGGTGGGCTGTTTTGTGGGAAGCTGTTTTGTGGGTTGTTGGGATTCTCATGGATTCTCATTTTGTTACTAGTATAGCTTCTTGCTGCTACTAGCGATGCCAGGAGCCCCGTTCGTAGCGTCCTTGCTCCTAGTAGTAAGGCCAGGAGCCCCTAGTAGCTTCTTGTTCTTGGATTTTCCTAGTTTGGTACGCTCTTTGCGGTTTGCTTTCTGGTTCTTCGCTTGAAGTGTTTTTTGCAAAGCCTGATGCAACAATCTGCTCGCAGTGTGGTCGCGGGGGATGTGGAACCGAACACAACAGATTCAGTGCTTGCTTGCAGCATGGACCCAAACCTCCATGTGCTTGAGATGTTGCTTCAAAATCATCAGCCTTTCCGCGAGCTAGCCCAGACACCAGAGCCCCGGGGAAATGGCCCGCAAACCCAGTGGTATTAAAAAACCCCTAATATATCCTAATATAAATATAATCCTTTCAATCCCCTCATCCAGGATTCCAGTTCCAGTCCAACCACTATTCTAGTCGGGATCACGCATTGCTTCAAAAACTGGAAAAAACCAGATCACCTGGAACCACCCGATGACTCGGACCGCAAGTCCGACCCGGCAGGCGCAGATCCAGAAGGCGGAGGCCGACCAGGACGGGGTTCCGGCGGAGAAGCGAAGCGGTTCCGCGACGATATGGTGCGAGGAGGACGGTCGTAGCAAGGTGCATCGCGACTCGAACGGAGCGATCGGATGCTACCAACGGGGCGCTCCTGGCATTACCACTAGGAACAAGAAGCTACGAACGTAACAAGGGCATCGCCACTCGTAACAAGGGCGTTGCTACTAGTAGCAAATTGCTACTATAGCTAATAGCAACTGATGAAATTTGCGGAAAGATTGTGTTCAACGTGAATAAAGACCTCAGATGATGTAGACAGAGACATTGGATATTAATGGATATAGGATGTTTGGTGATTGTCTGGAAACATCGTGAAACCTCAAAAGCATGGGATCGTGCATCCCTGGGCTTTGACCTGTTTTGACAACCGCGCCTTCTTTTTCGGAGTGTGAACACCTGTTTCACGGTTGGGGCTTTTAAATTGACAATTATTTAACATCTCAAACGGAGAAGAGTTGGCTTGTTTTGTCGGCCACCACTTGAGAACAGCATTGTCATATGAAAAGGTGTCAAGTCCAACAAAATAGAGAGAACATTCACATCACACGATCACACTGGCATGGATAGTCAGACACCAAACAATCCACCCTCCTCCACGTCCCCTCCAAACGCCACGTTCCATCTGCCCTGATCCGGACCGGCAGGACCAGAGTCGGCTCACGCGCCTGAGTCGCTTGTTGGTCCTCACCCGGTCGTCCGCTGCGGCAACGGCCTGGCAAACCACCAAGGACCGTGTTGCGGTACGGATCCGGATGGGAGAGGAAATCGGTGCGGACTGAATCAACGCAGATGAGCGGATGAGTTTTTTTCAAGGAATTGGTTGATCCAAGACGGTACCTGGAATTGACTATACCCGACCTGCGCAGAAGGTGAGGCGGCTGGATCTCTACGTTTGGGTTGTTCTTGCTCGTTGTTCTTGCTCGTTTTGGCACTGGAACTCTCCGGGGTTTTCCCGTCGTGACTGGAGGAGCCGGATGGTCCGACGATATCCGACGGTCATTTTGATAGGGTGATCACATGGTGACACTAGGAAGCTACTAGGAACAAGTGCCTTAATAGTAACAAGGTTCGCTACTAGGAACAAGTGCATCGCTTCTAGTAACAAGTGCCTTACTAGGGTGATTTTGCGAAGTCCTTAGAGATCCCTTCCCCTTCGTCAGCCGATGACAGCATCTGAGTAGTGACACACTATCGAGGAGCTGAAGTCGAAGGTGGCCAGCAGCATGGCCTCGGCCATCAGCGAGTTCGTGGGCAAGGCGAGATCCCGAAACGCGGCCAGGGGCATCTGGGCTGAGGAAAAAGAGGATATCAGTTATTTTAAAAAATCAACAGAGTATCAATTATTAATAATCAATTATATATTAAAACAACATCAACAGATGTCAAGTTTAGCAATTACATCAGTCATCAGTCATCTACCTATAGCTCATCAATGGGTGAGTCTGCTTTCTTTTTTTCTCACTCTGAGGGTAGTTTAGCAGTATAAATAGCGGACCAGGGGCCGGTGTGTTCGACAAATCGGTGGATCAGACTTTGAGCACGCCATTTGGCCTATCCAGTGGTCGAAAGGGTAATAGTTGCCCGACCTTGCCAAACGCACATGTTTGTTAAGTGGCAGCTAGCTCTCATACGCCCAACACATGGATTGAACAGGGTCCAGGCAAGGATCAATTTATGCTTCTTCTGGTGTCGACGACTCCTGGTTGAGTTTCTGTTTCGGACATCCAGGGTCCAGGCACCCACTACTGTTCTTGTTTCTCTCTTCGATTGGTCCAGGAGGACTACGACATCAATGATGTGGCAACAAAGGTGGAGGATTGACACTGGGAGGTTGTTGGGGCACTTCTTCTCCTTGCTTTTCTTTCTATTTTTCATTTTCTTCTTATTCCTCTTCTTCCCTCGTTACCCGGTTACCCACTATTTGAGGCCTGTTGTCACCTCAAGAATCTCAAAACAACAAAAGGCCTCTGTGTTATGGGATTAAGGACCAGACATAAGGGGTCAACATGGGTCAACGGGTCTTTGTAGGTTGGCCTTTGAACAGATGCAGAAAACGACTCCTGTAGTGACCTGATTGGGGGAAGAAAATCCATCAACGCACCACGTGGAATCTTCCAGACTCAAAGTCAGAGTCCAGGAGTAGCAGGGATGGCGCTGCTAGGGAGGGGCTTTTGGAGTTTCTACTCCATCCCATTCCCAAAAACAACACTGCGCCACTCCGCTGTTAGGCTCGCACACCACTATAGCCTTGAACAAGCTTCAACCAACTAGGGACAGCTGAGTTTCTTTGTGCATAGAAACTGGTTGGGACTTGTGAAAACATCCATGTTCTGGAACCTCCAAGAGGAGGACAGGTTTGGAGGGCGGTTCTTCAACGACCATGCGTTCCCGACACCTGTTGCGCTGCTTCTCCCACTTCTCCCACGTTCTTCTCCACGTTTCGCTTCCACCACGCCGCTGTCGGAACGGCGCAGGAGAGTGTGAGCAGCGCGGTCACGAAGTTGGACAACGTCTACCTGACTGCAGAGGCCGCCAAGGCGGCGCCCGAAGGCCGGGGGCGAAGGCGGCGAAGGGGGTTTGTTGGGGGGCGTTTTTCGATCGGAGGGAGTGTTTCTTTTTTTAAATAAGGGGAGACAGTTAGTCTGTTGGATTGGTGGAGGTGGGTGAGGATTCCTTTGGACTTTTGATCCACGTGTATCAGGATAAGATCCTGCAAGATCTGTATACGAGTGTTTCTTTTTCCTCATGAAAAAGACAATCTTCGCACCTTGTTGGTGGGGAGGATTCTTTTTTTTTTCTGTGTTGGAGATCAGATTTTGGCCGACACTTGGTTCAGTCGCCGGAGTCGAAATCTCTTTTTTGGCCCGGCCCCTCCCCTATCGCCAACAGATGTTGTCCATTTGGTCAAGAAAAAAGGGACCTTTTTGGGCACAGTTTTTTTTTTTTTTCTCGGACCTGCCAGATATGAGATATCTTGTTGTCCTTTTCGGTACACATGTTGATATGGCTCCATGGCTCGTTAAAGCTCGACGCTCTGCACCGGGTGGGATCTGAACGGGCACCGGTGCCGAGGCACCACGCCCATCATCTTGACGGATGTGGTGAGGCGACGGATGGATCCACTGGCAAAACCCACGTCGGTTTCAGTCGATAGCTTTTGATGACTGTAGGTAGGTTTCTCGACAGCTCGAACAGGGATTCAAGATGGTCTGTTCTTCAGTTCCGGTCGTTTGAAACGTTATGCCAACACCTTGGCATCGTTGGCGTGCACCCTGATTTGACTTCCTTCGGTGCCCGGCCACATCTTCCCGAGACATCGCCCAGAGCCGCAAACGCACGCACTTCTCGCCCCATCTCTTTGGGGAAAACACCAAAAGACGAGGCCGGTGGCGGGTCAGATGAAGGAGGCGGGAAAGGAGGCCGTCTTGGCCTTCACTGGAAAGGAGGCTCGAGAAGACTCGATTGGTGGGGAGGTGGAATGACCTCAGAATTTGACCGGAAATCATGTGTTTCTTTAGATATTGTTTTGTTATACACTGTAATCCTGTATATATAATATAACATACATAGTTTGATTTCTGCTTTGTGGGTAGAAAACTCCGTCCCAAAATCACTTGAATCGCTTGGTGGCTTCGTGACTGCTTTTGTGAACTGCAAGAGACGCTGCTTTTGGGTGTTACCAGTCTGTCAAAAGAAGCAGAAACAGATTGACCTGCTTTCTGGAGTTTTCTCAGTTTTGGGAGTCTTTGTTCAGATCAACTGCAATGCAAATTCAAGCTGACACTTCATCTCATATCCTCTCACGCCCCTTCACACACTGCACTCCGTTGTTCTCGATTTGTGCGATACCCGACCCTTGGACCCTCGACCCTGCATGACGAGGAGTACAAGTTCGGTGACATCAGCAAGGAGGCGGCGAAGCGTGCGAAGAGCGCCGTGGCCAACCTCTTGGGCAAGGCGCGCTTTCTTTGCGCGCCGCGGCGCGGAGCGTTCGGTGCTTGAGCGGCTCGGGTTGAGCGGGGTTCAGGTTTCGCGGTGCCGTCAGGTGTTTTTCGTTTGAGCCAGGGTGGAAATGGCGTGGAAATGGCTGGTGCATGGATCGTACCTTGGTGTTATGTGCATGGAAGTAGCGATTCTTCAAAAGATGAAACCTAGAGGCCTAGAGGTGTTCACTGTTCACCCACCAAAGCCAGGTTTTACCAGTGCTGAACGATGTGAAGTGCTCGTCGTTTTTGATGGTTTTGCGTGCCTCGTTTTTGGGGAGCATCAACACCCTTGGGCCGATTGGAAGGAAGATAAAAATAGCACAGAAACCCCATCAATCTGTTGCCATGATCTCTTGGATCTCATTCATTTATAGGATTGTTTACTGTCTCAGTGACGGAGAAGACAACTGTTTTGCAGAGACCTAGGTTTCACTTCCATGAGGCCGTCTTAGGGAAGATAGTATGACCGACATTTGATTGTTTATGCAAGGAGACAAAATAACGATGATTTTGCTTGTTGGACGATTTCCCCACAGCTCCTTTTGGCTGGCCTTGCCTGCACTTTTTGTGAACCACTTAAGAACTTAGTATGGCTATACATGCATATATTACCATATCATATGTCATATGTACTGTATATTTTGATATATTTAGTAAATAACTTATATAACATCATGAATGCGACATGTCTTTTTTCGGTGCATGGATGTCACACCGCTCCGATCCGAACCGATCGTTCTCCGATCCGAAGCGATCCGCACCGGTCGGTCCAGGAGGAGTACAAGTTTGGAGACGTGACCAAGGCCGCCGTGAACAAGACCATGGACGCCATCGGGGACTTCACAGGGAAGAAGGACTACAAGTGGCTTGGAGAGGAAGTTTTTCTTGGTGAAGTGCTTCGGGCTTTGAGTTTAACAGTCTATATACCTATACAAAGAGAGAGAGAGAGAGACTTGAGAGAGCAATTAAAGCCTGGCTAGTGCTTTCGTAAGTACCCAATCGAACCTCCAGCCATAATGTCTTGAAGCATACACGCGGAGCCCTGAAATATCCTGAAATCATAGTTGGCTGGACCAAATTTCCACATGAGTACTAGTCGTAGTTGTAGTAGGCATGAAACAGTTTCAAGTCATTTGAATTTGGAATCCTGACCTCCTGGACGAAGCACATTGGATGCCAGAACACCTGTACCCCCCGCAGAAGAACCCCAAGTAGGGCTGCATTGCATTGCTGCGATGATTGATTGGAAAATATTGAAATGGACGGAATACGAGAGTGAGAGTAAATCATTCCGAATCTTGCACGTGCTTCCACCATGTGGAAAGCATGGACATGATGTATCTTGACTAATACAAGAAACTAACATCATGTTCATCGACATGTTCATTCGCCCAGATGGAGCTCCTCGTTTTACGCCGTTTTTTGTGAGGCACCTGGGGGGACTCCATGGACATCGACCGAGCCATACCGGTCCGCCATACCGGTCCCTGACCGTTTTGGGTCTCATTTTCCGTGCTCGGTGCGATGTGCGTCTTGGTGCGTCTGAACGTTGGAGGAATGGATTTGGTCAATTCCTAACACGGTTCCTTCGGTCGTAACGGTCCAAATGGGCCAGGAGTCTGGTCACCGGTCGGCCTTGACCCAGGTTCGGCGACATCACTAAGACGCTCCTCAGGCGGGTTAGGACGTAGATCGGCTGGGAAGTTCCATGTGCGAAGCACAACGGGTCACCAGTAAGCGAACTCAGAGTTCTCTGTCAATTCTTGGGTACTTTACTTTGAGGTGTCAGTAGCCTTTGTATCTTGCATAGTATCTTCTAGTCCTCATTCTATAAGCCATATGAAGCCATGTCCTCTATCGGATACCAGAGGTTCAGACCAACAGGGCCAGTAGACTCATGTTGGCGATACAGACCAACTCTTGACCCTTGCTTCATTGGGCTCCAGTACCTGCGCACAAGCCGTGCAATGTAGGTTTTACAAGTCAGATCTTTGACCATGTTTGACCTATGACACACTAGTTCGTGAGTTTTTTTGGGGGGGACTGTGACCTTTGAAGCCTTTGTTCTCGTGGAGGAAAGCTTTGAACTTCCTGGAGGATGATGACGAGAAGAGTGAGAAGAAGTGAGTGATGGGGTGATCTGATAAGTTGCAGGGATCGACGCGTGCTTTCCCCTGCAGAATTGATTGAATTTCGTCGAAGTGGGCTGAAAGTGGATGCAACAAGACTGAAGATAGCCACGATGCCTCAGGTGGAGATGGGGTGAGTAGCTCCAAGAAAGCTCTGGGATTCTGGATTGATCTTTGGATCTCCGTGCTTTCTTTGGTAGTTGCACCAAACGAAACTTAGATAGACTGAACAACAAGTATTTCCATAAACCCTCCGACAAGTGACACGCGGTACGCTGTGGCTGGGTGAGAATTCTTGGAAGCTTTGCATTCATACACCCCTTGTGACACACCTTGTTGATCTTATTGAACCTAGGAAGAGGTTGGCAGTGTGGGTTCGTCTACGCCAGGACTCAGATCTCGTGTATTAGCTTTCGAATTTCACCTGGCCCATTCCACAGCGGCCAGCCACGGAGTGCATTTGGTGAGCCCAGCACAGCACAGCCATTTGTCCAGATATTGACTGAAGCGAAATGGCCCAACTGGAGTTCACTGTTTCGGGAGAAACATCCACTGGATGCCTTGGGATTTAAAGGCGCGCTTTGCCACAGTGAAGGGCCTTTGGCATGTCTTGGTTGATCCAACGACCAAAGTATTCTGTTAAGACTCACTTAACGACGGAACGACGGAACCTGGATGATTTGGGTCACTCGAAGAAACCCGTCCGAGAACCTGGGCAGTCTCGGGAGGGCTTGGTCTCTTCGTGAAAAACAGACACAGATCTGGGTCTCACACAATTATATACTGTAAATTGTATGTTCCACGGGTTTCGTGGAGCAAAGAGCTGCCCAAACAGGATGGTTCTTGGGGCTTTCCAGTGAGGTCAAGAGTCAGAAGTGCTTAGGCACATTTCTGGCATCCCGCAAAATGGCTACCGGTTTTACTTATAGCCTTATACACAAGCTCCAACAACTTCATAATGCTCATTAATGCTCACTGGAAGGTTATCAATGATATTGGTGCTCATCCTATTTAGTAGCCTGACCACAAATCAACTGAATGGTGTTATTTCAAACCCATTGAGGTATGCGCTAAAACACAGCCATACAAACAGTCCCATCTTGTCCCAATCAATAAGCTACCATGACGAGGTTTAAGGTTTACCATGGTTTACCTAAGAGTTATAGCAAGGTGATATGTTGTGAATGTTCTGTATTTTTTTTAAAATACGTACATACACATTTGTGTATATACATACCTTGGGTGGATGAAGAGGATTGCCATCCTGGCTTGTGCCAAAGACGAAACGAAGCAGGAGACGCGGATCCGCTGAAGACCTTTTGCAGTGGCAAGTGAACCATCGACGTTGGTAGGGTTGGCAGCTGGCAAGCTTGGAGTTTGGCATAGCAATGGTGTAGCATGCCAAAAGAAAAGGACTTGGAGGCTTTTTTCCTCACAACACATCCTGCACCAGGTTTGTGTGACACATTGTGAAATGTGTTTCAGTTGAAGACGTCGGACCCGAATAGATGCGTGCCATCCTCCAGATGCAGTGCCGCAATTGGTTGGTTTTGGAGAGACTTGCGACAGTAGTGCCGTCCCAGGCATTGCGGATGAAATGTTTTCCCGCTGCAGATTCCGCTGTGGAGGATGACAGTGGATTCGCAATGATGCGATCGACGACATGTCCAACGGGATCCCAATGACCGCTGGTTTTTTGAGATGTGTTCGGTACTATAGGGAACCAGGATGAACGAGGTCCCCCAAACCCTAGCCCATTCAGTTGTGTTTTTGGAGCCACAGGACACCACATTGTGACCTCTTCGATGTAAGAAAAGAACCTGTAACATGAACTGTCGTTCTCGTTCTGGATCCATTGAACACACCTTTCATGGATCTATTAACCCGCCCTCATGCATGAATTCATTCGTGGAGTGAAGAGCACCTGTTTTTCTTCTTCTTCTTCTTGTTCTTCCTCCTATTGAACATGGTCATGGAAAGGAGCCCATAGGAGCCCAGGCCATCCACGTCGAGAAAAAACTTCATGTCACTTCCATGGATTTCAGGGAGCAAACCCAGATGAACGACACGCATCGCTATTAGGTTGGAGGCCATCGCTAGTAGGTTGGAGGCCAGCGCTATTTTAGGTTGGAGGCCATCGCTAGTAGGTTGGAGGCCATCGCTATTAGGTTG